TAAATTTAACTATAATAGCTTTGCAATTGAAAAAATTTGCAAATATTTTAAATACATTTTCGTTGTATTGCTCAAATTTCGCTTTTCTCGTTTTGAAAAATATTTTTCAGTGTAAATGTGAACGATTTCAATTTAACCTCAATTAATTTTTACGTAACCTAAATTAACCGATACAAGAAAGAACTAACAAATATTGCACGATAAAATTTGTATAAAACTGAATATCAAGGTTTTTATTGTTCAGAGGAATTTGTATACTATCAAATGTTTTATATGCAAGAAAAGAAATAAAGGTTTTCACTTTTTTCAACTGTTTTGTCAACGCAGCAGTTCTGAAGAACGCGTTATTTCCCAACATCTCACGAGTACATTGGAAGGTCGATATTTCTGTAACCTTAAACACGTTTCGCAAGGTATTTAAGTACCGAAAAAAAAAAAAAACGTCGAATCGAGGCGGAATGCAAATCCGTATGTTAATTAGCATGGCTTAACGGTTTTTACCGAATTATTTATGCTTTCTACAGAAAGGATCGTCGTCGTCTTTTACCCTTTCGAACGTATGTCCCACGTGTGTCGAATTTTTAGGTTATGTTAATTGAAAATATTTATCAACATTTTTAATTTATTCGACGATGTCTCTCGAAAGGATGTTTTGAACGCGACAGTGACTTTCAAATTTTATCTCCGTATTGAATATGTTTAATTTGTTCGATGATACTTCTTGAAACAGCATTTCAAACATAACAGTGACTTTTAACTTATATTTCTCGTATTGGTATAAGAAGAAGAGAAAAAATAGGACAAAAAACTGCGTTGATTTAATCCGTAATTCGTGAAAAATATCTTCCTTTTTTCGGAATCACCATTAACAACTTCACCTATGAAAACATTTAACGACCACTTCTAGGAATCTGACTGCCGGTTAGTTTTCTCGGTAATTCCCCCCGATGGGCTTACAAGCTCCTTCAATTAATGCTTCTCGATATTTATAACACTGTCCAAGTCACGATCTTTAATCGTAAACGTGACATAAAATTAAATTCCGATCAAATTTTTTTTTTTTTTTTTTTTTTTTTTTTTTTTGTACATATATATTGAAATACAATTATGCAGCAGTCCAGTGTTTTTTTATCTCGCGAATATACTTAATCACGTCGAATTTACATATGAGAATATTTCGATAAAATCGGAACTGTTACTCAGCAACTTCTAAGTATATAGCTTCAATTACTACGTTTACATTTTCCGTTTTATTTATCAACAAATCTGTGTAACAAAAGAATACCACGTTCTGACCATTCTTATCTGCAAGAAGACAAGTAAAGATCGCCGTGGGCGATAAACCTATTTTAGGTTAGCTTTTTTTTTTTACCTATTCAAATCTGTATTTGACATTGGTATTCACGGCCATTAGCGTTCACCAGGGGATTAGTTAAGGACTACTCGACGGAACCGGTTTCAATTCGTAGAAAATCAGAACGTGAACAATAGGTATAGAGGCTGTATAACGATAGAACACAATTACTGGCCGCGATGGAATTGAACAAGGACGCTGAGTTTCAGGTCCGCGAGTGTATCTAGATTTTACGGAACATCTTAAAGATCAGGCGAATCCATAAAAAGGCTCACATTCGCGCGGACTCTTGCAACGTCTGGAGTTTCAGGTCCGGTGATCCAACTATAAAATTCGTGATATCGCGTTGGAGGATCTTGTGACGTGTGGCTTTCTCTACTCTTTTTTTTTTTTCAACGAGTATCGTGCCTCAGGGAGAGATAGACATTTTGACGGAACGTTAAACCCAAGTGAAAAAAGTTACTTTTGAATATTTCATCGGAGAGAAAGGACGATCGGTATTGTTTTTTTTATTCAGGTTTTGACGACTTTAGAGTGTCGGTGGTCTACGTGGTAAAAAATATTTTAATTCTGGTGAATTTTAATATCTTTCTAGGAGAACTTGTTTCTTTAAACGGTCTTGTATGTGGAAAAATTGGGGAACAATTGAAATTTCTTGGTTAGCAGAATTGTAGTTTCTGAAAAACTGTATGATCAATGGAAAATCAATGGAAATATAAGATATATTGAGACAGTAATAGTGAAAAGAAAGTGACAACGTGATTGGTGAAAAGAGGATCGTAAGAAGATCTTAAATGAGATATATATTTATGAATTTGACAGTTGTTTAATTCGAATGTTTCGTGACAATTGTATACTCTTGTGTTCGAACGAATACATGTAACGAAAAATTGTAAAAAAATATTCGGATACTAAGTGAAATGAGAAATATTCGATCAATATTCCAAAAAGTTGATACTACTTTTGCTAACTTTTTGAATAATTGTAAATTGTGGTTATAGTTAGGTATTTTAAGTATTCCTATAATTTTATGTAAAAAAAAAAGCTGCCATCACTGAACGTTCCTATTTTAAAAATTAAAATTATTCGACAGGTTTCTTCCGTGTTAGTTATGAATAATTTATGCAAATTTGCATAAAAGCACATTTTGAATTTAAAACATGTAAATAACAAACGAATGAAGAACTGTGTGAACGAAATTTATGTTAGAAAAAGAGGAAAATTTAACAGAATTGTAATAAAACTACATTTTAATATATTAATATCATCTACCAATTTTCTTTTTTTTTTTAATTTCCTAAAAATTGTACTTGAATAAGTGTTCCTTCAAGTTCAACAACACAGCACGAAACCATAAAAAGTGCTGAATGTCAGTGACAAATTTTCGAGAAGCACTTCCTCGTGATATTCGAACTGCAGAACGTGTCTTACATTCTCATTTATTTATATTCCACCTGGTTTACGTGTTTCAGTTGCTTCATGTGCTTCCTTCATGTTTCATAATCTTACTACAACAAAAACACAGATTACCTCGTTGAAACATCAATGATTGATCAGTATACAACGGAAGTAATTACTACTAACTCCACCGCATAATCAAAATTTTCAATTATTCAGAAAGATATTTTATACAAAATTTCCTTCGTTGACAAAAACATTCTTCACAAATTATGCAAATGTAATCTACCAACTGTCGATCATCGATACACCGCACACAATCAACCAAGTAGAACTGTCTAACTAATCAACCGATACATTATCATAAACAACCGATAAATTATCAGCACGAAACGAGGCCATAGATAAAAATTTCAACATGCATATGCGTCATTGAACTTTAAAGAAGTAAAAAAAAAAGAAGAAACTCGAAGATATTCTTGTACCCCGAAGGAGTCGCGTCGAGTGAAACACCTGTTGCTGGATCGAGAAGGGATCACAGGGATCAAGAACGTGTGTCCGATAAAAAATAAAGAAGAAGAAGAAGAAGAAGAAGAGAAGGAGAACGGGGGAAGGACCTGGCGAAATTTGCGGGAAGAGAAAGTTTTGTTTATCGCTACGTGAACCCTGCCTTGATGTTGACCCCTATCTCGTTCAATTTTTAAGTTCAAGGTCTGTATTCGACTGGCTCCTCTAACGGAAGCGTGTCTTTTCCTCTGTGAACTTATATATAGAACGAATCCACATACGAGGCGGCTAATATAAGTCACTCGGGCGAGTGACACCGGTAGTCGCGTGTGCTGCAATGACGAGAGCATTCTCTTAAAGTGATCTAAATGACTTTGGGACGTGACGTGATAAACGAAGAAAAGAGTGAGGCCGAGGTATGACGATTGGAACGTTCTTTCGAGGTGATCCACGATAGTAGAGAGTGCCTTGTGTTACGTCGCAGTTTCTTCATCGTGTACTAACGTTAACGGGCGTAAAACATTCCTTTTCTCCGGACAAACACCGCTGATAAAAACATGGACGATAAACAAACGCACGAGATGACGAGTGACGAGCCGAATATTGGCGTGCAGCAGGGGCCACCGGTAATCGTGATCAGCGAGGAAATGCCGCGACGTTACTCGTTAACCAGCTTAAGAGATCGTCGTCTATCGTTCGACGAGAACGATTACTGGAGAACGATAGAAGGTGACGTTGATGCGCGAGAAAATGTCGACAAAACGACCACTCAGGCGAATATGAAACCGTTGGCGAGCCACGAGAGGAGAACCAGGCATTACTCTTTGACCAGGTTGAAAAATCGTCGTTCCTATCTCTGCTTCGACGAGGACAAAGATTTCACCGCGAAAACGGACAGCAAGGAGATCGTCAACGACAAAACGATGGAAACGTTGAGATTACCGTTTTCGCCGAATGGAAAAACGAAACACTGCTCCCTGTCGAATTTGAACGATCGATCAAACGATCTTCTCTCCACCAGATTCGCACCGACTTTTAGATCGGTCAGACAACAACGGCAATCCAGCACCTCGGAGAAGATCTCGATCAACGATACACCTCTGACCGCTTCTGCGAACGATCACGTGGAAATCGACGCAGGTACACCGCCACCGGTCGACGAGTCTCTCTTCTACGACAATCTGGACGTGTTCAGGCAAGCGCAGGTCAACGACAACGATCTGAAATCGATCATGTGGTCCATCGTCACCACCGCTGAAATGAAGACGCTGTTCGAGCTGGAGAAATGCAACACGCTACCGGAGATACCATCGGGAGAACGGATAAGAAACATCGCGTACATGTGGTGCTGTTATCGCGGTCTGACGCATCTCCTACCGAAATTCGAGCAATCTGGCGTGAATCTCGATTACGTGGACCCGCGTACTGGCATGAACGCCGTCCTGGCTGCGTCGTTGAGCGGTAACGTAGCGTGCATCGAGCATCTGATAAAGAGAGGCGTCGATATCAATTGCAGGAATCCGATCAATCATTACACGCCTCTTCACTTCGCTATCCTCGGAAATTCGCCGGACACGGTGCGCGTTCTTCTCGACAACGGCGCCAAGCCTACCACGTATCTCTATCAGGAGGTGGTCGAGCCAGTTCTCCACTGCGCCATCAGAGCCGGAGCTGTGGAGATAGTGAAGCTGTTGCTAGATCGAGGGGCGAGTGTCGTCGAGAAGAATCACACGGGTGAAACACCTTTGCACGTAGCGTGTTTCGTGCAATCGTTGAAATGCGTCGAACTGCTGCTCGATACACCTGGTACGAACATCAACGCGGTGGATCGAGCGCACAGAACACCTCTTCACTTCGCCGTGATGACCACGTACTCGTCCGCGAAGCTCGTGGAGGTTCTGTTGAAACACGGTGCTCTGGTGAACGCCGCGGACAGAACTGGCTTCACTCCTCTTCACGTGGCCGCACTGAACGAACAATCTCACTGTGTCGACGTGCTGATTTGGGCCGGTGCAGACGTTAGTGCAACCACCAGTGCAGGACTCTCCGCTTTGAACATTATACTGAGAAAGATACCGGAGTCTCTGCAGGTGTTTCGACAAAGACTAGACGCCTCGATAACGCTGAGAAGACCCGTACCTCACAACAGAGAGTTCGAGATGAGGCTTCACTTCGATCTACTGTTCCCCAGCGGCAATCAATGCGAGACCAGCTTCATCAACACCTTCGTCCAAGAACGCCGTAAAGATTTGCTGTCGCATCCGTTGGTGATGGCTTTTCTGCATCTCAAGTGGGAGAAGATCAGGAAGTTCTATTTACTCAGGATCATGCTGTACGCGATGACCGTGATCTGCATGACCACGTACGTCCTCACAGCGTTGGCCTACAAATGTTACAACTACGACGAGGCGAACAGCTCGAAGATATGCAGCAGCAAACGTATCTCCGGATTTCTATTCAGGCGGCCTGTGATCGAGATCCAATGGTACCTGTTGTTCATATTCACCTGTATCTCGATACCTAGGAAGATATTCGGCTTCATGGTGTACACGTCCGCGAAGCAGTACTTCTCCAACATCGACAACGTACTAGACGGCGTTGTCATAATCAGCGTGTTCGTCACGTCGTTCGTTTACACAGGTCGTACGTACGATTGGCAGAATTACGTAGGAGCGTTCGCGATACTGTGCGCCTGGACGAATTTGATGCTGATGGTCGGTCAGTTGCCAGCATTCGGCACGTACGTCGCTATGTTTACCCATATACAATTCGAATTCGCCAAGCTTCTCCTCGCTTATTCGGGATTGCTGATCGGTTTCACCGTCAGTTTCTGCGTCATCTTCGTCGGAGAACCGTCCTTCGGTAATCCGTTCACCGGTCTCATCAAGGTCCTGGCTATGATGGCCGGTGAATTGGACTTCGAAGGATTGATCACGCAAATCGATCAAGGATTAGAATCGGAAGGTCCATTCGTTATCTATCAACCGTTGTCGGTTTGCTCTCAGATTTTGTTCACCCTGTTCATCGTGTTCGTCACGGTGATTCTGATGAATCTACTGGTTGGAATCGCTGTTCACGATATCCAAGGGCTGAGAAATCACGCCGGTCTCACGAAACTTGTACGTCAGACGAAATTGATCTTATTCACGGAGATGGTGTTGCACAACAGCTCGATTCCGTACGCCTTTCGTAAATGGATGTCCGACCATAAGATCAACGTGGAGAACCGGAGGAGGGTGTTGGTGGTGAAACCGTTGAACCCTTTGGAAAAGAGATTGCCGAAAGATATACTGAAGGCGGCATACGAGATAGCACAGAAGAACATACCGTTTATGAACGAGGATAACGTTAATCTTAGCGAGCATGTGATATGGATGAGGCAACAGAGCGAGGAATATTCTGACACGAATTTGCAACTAGTCATCGAGAATCTAGCGAACAAGCTACAGTCCTACGAGGACACTATCAAGACGCTGAAGGAGCAACTGTTAGATACTAATAAAATGCTGGAGAGTGTTGTGAAAAGTCTGGCGAAGGAAAAGAGTAACTAAGGATAATCTAGGTACTGGCTGAATTGAAATTACATTGTAGTTTTATCGTTCAGGAACCCAAGAACACACACAGTAGTTATTTAATGTGCGTGTGAACCGATGATGCAAAACGATCGAAAGTAAAATTGTATAAAGGCAAAATACGACGAGTCGATCGATCGGGGATCAACTTTCTATACAAATATACGTAAAGTTTTAAGTATCGTAAAACATCGAGTGACTTATAAGGGAATGGAACCAGAAGTGAAAGTGAAAGTAGAGAGAAAGAGAGCGAGAGAGAGAGGGAGAGAGAGGAATATTTTGTAACAATGACATTAGGATTAATGGTATTAATATCTTCATATTTTTTCTTTTTTCTTTAACCTTTTAAGTACGCAACTTTCATTGCCAGGGTGAAAATTCGTTGAAAATTTTCTCCGCACGTACTTTGTAACATGGTGTTTTTGTAAATTGCTAATATTGTAAGGAAGAAAAAAAAAACACTTATACGGTTTGAAACGAATGTTCGTATTTGATAGGTATTTATAACGAGAAGATTTACCGATTGATATCTCGAGATTGTTGAAATTCGTCGTTGTTTGTTGTATACAATCTTTGAACGTGTACAATCATCGCACGATTGTTCGCAACATTTAAACAGGAGAAGAGAATAACCAACAATTGATCGATACATTTTTCTATTGGACACGTTTCACTGTAAGCAATTCTAAATTTCACTAGGCAATTAATCTGGTGCTTCTTTCTAATCTTGAAAAGACTTTTGCGAAACGAATTTCGATAATACGTGTACATATTTCATTCTGTGCAAGTTATAACACATGCAAAGTAGCGAAGTCGTAAAATGTTATAAAGTTAAGCCCATAGATTAATAAAAAAAAAGAAAAAGAAAAAAAAACAATTTAACGATTCACTCGAACAAGCGTTAACTTCGTATTATTTTCAAGTGAAAGCAAATTTACTTTTTAATCGAATCTATTTTCAATTGCAGGTTATATTTCCGTTAATGTTTACGAATATGGCTGACAAAGTTGATATTGAAGCAACCGTTTCTGGTGGGGGGCCAACTGGACAAGCAGGCGCTATTCGATGGGGTATTGCATGGGGGCTTCGAAGCTTTGTCGATGTTAAAATGATAGAAAGTATGAGAATTGGTAAGAGAAACACTGTTCCTCTAATTACTTATTCCTTCTTGCAAAAAATCGAAGTTGAGCAAGTTCGAAGTTATAAGTTGTATTTTTGTAAAATTTCAACTAATTGATTATTATTCGTTAGCCGCGAAAAAATATGTATACATATTCTGCGCGATGTTAATTTAGTGTAAATGTTTGTATTACGTGATATCTAGAGTATACGTCGATTTTCACAATTTCGTTCTCTTTTTCCGGCTATTTTTACTACACTTGTAAACTTTATTATCAAAGGGAATAATATCGATTAATTTTTTTACAAAAATACAAATTTGTTGTATTTTAAAATGCAATTTTAGTTAACGATAGAAACTACTGTCCAATTGTAACTGCACGCCTTCTATTAGAGCATTAATTTTTACGTGTAATTTACGAAGTGGCAACAAGGTCAGTCATTAAATTCACTCAATAGTCTCTGATTATTTGAACGAATAGAAAAATATGTAGCTAATTAAATTGAATTAAATTGGTTAATTAGTTAATGAAATGATATCGTTTTTCTGAAACGGCCTGAATATAGCAATGATTTCGTAGAATAATTATTTTGTATTGTAATAAGTATACTATAATATATATCAAACTTGTTTATCCTTGAATAGTTGCAGTACTTAATATAATTATACAAATCGTAGTAAATAAGAATCATGAAATATAACGATGAAATTTCATACGTACTATAAGACACTTTTAATATTTTCCGTTAAATCAGATATCAAACGGTAATCTGGTAAAATAATATTCTTGAGTTTCAATCAGATGAGTTTTCGTAGGATAAATTCTATTATTGAATCATTTGTTTTGATATTGAAATATTGATTATCGACACTATCCATTATTAAATGTCATTTAAATTTATTAAGACTGATGATTACTTCATAACTTAATCAGAATTTGTTATTTTTAGAAATTAGTTGTCATTCAGTAAAGAGTATTTTGTTAAAAAAAAAAATAATATTATCGACATGTAATAATTTCCATATTAATTTCTATAGCGATGTATATCTACATATGTGTGCTTATACTGGTGCAGATGATTCAAACAACCTATAAATATTAGCACTTATTTTGATATGTATATTTTAACGAAAAATTATTTATTAATTAAATTTACATTATAGAATAAGGATGTAAGATATAAAAAA